ACTAATGTCGAAGTCACACTTCACAGCCATCACCTGACGTGAATTACCTCGTAAAATACAGATGACCTTATTACAAATATATATATTAATCTAAGTAGTTACAAACAAAAGTGTACCCACTATCACATAAGTCAATTCATAGCATACAATTAACTGATACGCGCTAGGTTGTCCTTAACCTTGATGGGGATCGACCCAACTACCGACTGATTTCGCTAGAAATCAATGATATTTCACTAAATTTATGAAAGTATTCATTCACTATATTGTAACTGGGATAGTTGATAATGAGATGTTCACCCCTTCTTTTTTTTATCATTCAAAATTCAATGTTGAATATGTATAGTTTTTTGTAAATTAGATTCAATATAAAAAAAATCAAAGAAACGATTGAATAAAAATTTCCTAATTTTTATCTAAAATAATCATACCTGTTGATAGTTGAAAATTAATTTTTCCCCTAAAAAGGTTTACCCCCCCCCCACTTTTTTTGTGTATGTGGGCGTGGGGGTGTAGGGGTTAGTGTGGATGGGTGGGCTGTTGTTTGTTTAAATGATAATTTATTTCAATTTTTTTAAAAAAAGAAAAAAAAGAGAGAAAAATATTAAAAAAAAAGAATAAAACATCTGTTTATCTAAAGGATACATATGAAATATATGTATATGAATACAGTTTGTCAGTCTTTGTCTTCTTTTTTTTCGAGGAAAAAAAGGAAACAAATTAGATTTACGTAAACTGATATACAATTTAGAGTATTTATAGTATGTGGAATGTATTCTCTGGGAGAGGACAAAACAGCTTTCAGTTGTAGAAAGAAATTAGGAAAAGACAATGGAAATGGATAAGACATACATTACGGAAATCGTCAAACTACATCACGAGGCAAGCCTCCAACTTGGAATCCTGAAGGGAAGCGGAAAAGTGGAGAGCCAAAGAACACATTACGTCGGGAAATAGAATCAGATATGAAAAACATGAATAACAACTGGAAAGAATTGCCCAGGACAGTGTTGGATGGAGAATGCTGGTGAGCAGCCTATGCTCCTCCACGAGGAGTAACAGGAGTAAGTTAGTAAGTAACGAATGTATTCACTCACTTAATGTGCTCATCGAAAGAGTGATAATAATTATTATTATAAATTCATTTGGTATTGCTTTATATGGATCTTCCATTGTTATTTAAGACTAATTTGTCAGTCTCATGATGGTATATATGCGTCCTGTGCGGATTGACTCAATATAGCCTTAAGTCATAAGCTTTTATAAGCAATGATGGATAGTGGCTAGCAGTGGAATCCAGTTTGATGTGCGTTTCTTCCTATCCTGGGACTCGTCAGCTGGATATACCTTCATCTTAGACTTGATATTCACTCTGGGTACCGTTTGCTTCAAATGCCATAGTACTCATAAATAACAATAGGAAGATACAAGTAAACCAACACCAAATGAATTTAAACTTCACCCCATTACACAAGGAGGTGGTTATGGGAACTCAGTAGATGGGTGGATAACCTGATGGCGTTTGGAGCAAACGGTACTGGGTTCGAGTCCCAGTGTGAACATCAACTCTGAGATTCAGGTACATCTAGCTGATGAGTCCCAAATACTACGAGACGTGCTACCGAGATTCCGCAGCTAGCCATTATCCATCTTTACTTAATAATTATAATAGTTAAAATTATGAGCCGATCTAAGCTGGACCACTATTGAAAACCTGGAACCAATGGACGGCTGTTTTGTCTTAGTATGGAACTCTTCAGCAATGCGCATCCAAGCTCCTGCAAGCCGGGCTCGAACTCAGGACCTTCGGTCTCATGTATGAACGATCAACCTCCGGACTACTGAGTTGTCATTCAACGGTATTAATGTCTAACTTGAATCGATCTGTTCTCTTGTGCAATCCTTAATCCATTGTCTGAGTTGGATAACTGTTTCTACTAGGTACAGAGTGGACTCCACTGCTCACATCTTTACATTGTTATGGTAATAATAATGTAATTAAAAGACAGATAGGTTATAAAAATTTATCAATGAAAACCGAATAATCTATCCAGGTAACGTAGCTGCTACGCTGAATGAATGGTCAAATGTGCCCATAGCTGTATACAAGCAGATCGACTTTATAGTCGTAATACTAAAAGCAATGGATTTTATCTTGTTCTGCTGACTGTATTAACGTTTAGAGATAGTTTATTGAACATAACTAACATTTTCATGTCGATCTGTCTTTCTACAGTAGAAAATAAATGTTATAGTTAGTCAGTCCTGAAAACAGTTCGAATTCATTATGTTTGTTTCAGGATTATGAGCGGAACACATGGAATAAAATCTATCTATGCAACAGATAATATGTTATCGGTCTCAAAATGTTTCCTATTCAGATAACAATAAAATCACGTGTAATAATTCGGTTTATTTTACAGAATTCCATTCATGATTGAGATCATGAACCGATTGATGTTAGACCGCCATTGTCTTAAAATGGGACTCCTCAGTAGTGCGCATCCACGATCCAGCTCGCGGGATTCGAAGCCAGAACCTTTGGTGTTGTGTGTGAACGCTAAGCTTCTAGACCACTGAGCCGGCCGACATCGAACGGTGTTAATGACTAGAATCAACCATTGCATGAAATCGCGTGACTATCTTCCATCATCTGAGATAGAAACCTATCTCTTCTAGGCATGGATTATTTCCACTAGTTATGGCTTCTCACCAGAACTCAGAAAATTTCTTCACGAAACTAGTCACTAATGACATAATAATCTCCACAACTCAAGATTGATAATTCCATTTATCTTGGCATATATTTATACAAATCACCCCAATTCACACACACACACACACCATTGTTAGTGATGAAAAATAATTGAAATATTTCAAAATTACACTGAAGTTATGTTGTTTTTCTTCATCTTTTCCAAATAATCTATTACATAATCTTAATGAAAGTTAATTAAGAGTCTATACAAAATTGTTTTATTATTATATGTAATCAATGGAATGCAATTATCAACCATTCTAAATGATTCTCACTTATTACTATGTGTAAAAAAATAAAAAAATAATTTCAGTCATCAAGTTCTATTTTAAAATTTTAATAAAATTTACTAAAAATAGTTTCTAAGGGAGTAATAATATGAAACTCAACATGAAAGTTTCATCCTACTGAAAACTCATCAGTAGTAGTGGTAGTGTCTCGCAATTCCAAACTTGGCGAAACAATAATTTATGGACGCCCTTTAAACGAATCTCAAGTGACCTTGGGAAATATTAGCTAATCAGCAAACAGTAAGTATAGAGTAAAAATATATTATACAAAATCAAAGAAATAAAGTGGATACACTTCTTATACGTGGTTCAAAAACTTGTTGAGGTTAGAAAGAGGTTCAGAGGTTCTAAAATCGTAATGCATGCAGAAGAGGAAATCATCCATACGACTACAGAATAGTCGGCCTCTGGAGTCATGATAAAGTCTCAAATACTCTTTCAGCCACGATCACATAACATCAATATTGTTTGTGTGCACTCCGGTTGTTGAGTGCACCAAATGCTATTTGTGCATAACGAAACGACGCACATAACCAAACCTATGTAAGAGCATGTACGCTCTCCAAACATCCGTATATGTTGTGGTACCTGGCTGCTTTTATTATCCAGTTCGTACTAATTGTCGTAATTTATATATAAAGTTTTCATCACGAACTGACATAAGCTATAATGCCAGAAATCTATTTAACCAAATAGATGAAGCGCTTTCGCGTTAAAATCCGAGATCTATTATCTTATACTGGATTGATTCGTCCACAAATTATAGTCTCGCTATTTTATTTGTTATAGCCGCTCATTTATCACGTTTTGTACAAAATTCCATATGAATCGATTGTACGTTAGCATTAAGCACTGAAGTCAGCGCCGTAACCTTTAAATCTCTCAAACGCTTCTGATTGTCTCATTCATAAATTAGAGTCTCATACCAATCTTCATGTGAACACTTATACTCTAACCAAGTAAATGATGCTTTAAAATACTTGACGCTTTATTCATTGAGCTATTGACTTCAGATAGTCATTAACCTGCCTAAAAGATATAAGTGGGAAGCTGAGATGAATAAAGTCCAATCCATGTCGGGTGCAAGACCCGTCACATGCAATAGATAAATGGTTGCATAAAATCATATATTGAATGAATTTAATCTGTAATACTGGCTCAGATCTTGAGTTCTATATCCGCTTGTACGATCATAAATATGAACTGTTGAATAGTCCCATACTAGGACTTAAATACCCATTATTATGTGAATCATTCCGTCATAGTTGTTAAGATAGTTTACAAATATAATTCACTTTCACTTGATGTTGCTTTTACTTATATCTTCCCATTGTTCTTTAGGATTACAAATGATCAATCTTATGATGGTATAAATGCATCCTGTGCGGATTGCCTTAATATTGCCTTAAATCATAAGCTTTTATAAGGAATGATGAATAGTGACTAACAGTGCAATCCAATTTGACAAGCGTTTAGTCCTATTTTTACATAAGACAACTGTTTTAGTCTATTCAACTCTTCTGTAATTTCATCAATATGAAGTCATTGTTTTTTTCTTTCTTTCTAACTCCCTTGTCTACTAATGTACAGTTTTCTCATCAAGTATAACCCTAATTTTTTTCTCATTTCTAAACTTGAAATTCATTTAGATTTAAAATTCATTAGGCCAATGTAACTTATGAAATATCCAATGAAAAATGTCACAATCATGATTGTATTTGTGTATTGTGTGAATATGTAAAATACTACTAATGGGTTAATTCATGTCACGTACATCTACATTTATATTGTAGATACATATATATGTATATACGTACACATACATGCAAATAGGGAATTAACTGAAGGTTCATTCGTTTAGAGGTCTGTGTGTGTGTGTGTAATATAGGGATACATACCTGTCTACCATCATGGTTAATACATATATATATGTATGACAAGAAGGATAAATTGCAGTAAATGGAGCGAAAAGTCAACTGTTTCATCTACCAGATTGCATATACCACCAAGTTGACGACATATCTATATCTATCCATCTATCTATCTACCTCTAGAGTATATTAGACAAATAAAATAAACAAAATAAAAATCAGTTATGTCGATGATATTGATAATGATGATGATGATTATACCGCTGATGATGATGGCGATGAATATGTATGACAGTTAGACATTTAATAATATTATCTCTATTGATATAACAATTCTATAGTCAAAGTCAATTATCATTATACATACAAAATTGTTTTACTTCATTCTATTTGGATACTTATACATGGATATCCCCTGTATAAACATGAATACACACTATAGATAGACATAGTTACTAGTAGTACAATCATTGAATTATTTATTTATTTATTTATTTATTATTCACTAAAACGACATTGTTAAATTGGGAAAAATGTTACATTTACCCTCAATCTGTTTGGTGTACACATACACACTTACACACCTACACACATATCAATACACACACACACTTACAAACATGCCTACACACACCAACATACAGACACATATACAAAATCATTTGCACTGTATCATGTAATTATAAATAAAATGAAAATACCGCTCAATTAAACTGATCCAGTTTCCAAGGGAAATTATTATTTATTTATTTTTTTGAAATGAGAATTATTATTCTTATTTTCATTGATTAATTATGATATTAATTCACTTCAATTTTTATTTACAAATAAATAATTTTTTATATTTTTTATGTCAATTCATGATTTTCTTATCGAATATATGGATTTTCAAAATGATACAAGCAAATCATGTCACCATGGCAACAAGTAATAGTAATAATAATAATAATAATAAGCATAATTTATTATTTAATTCTGATGGAAACATTTTCAATATGAAAACACAGATGGATTTGATTCATCGTTTACCACGTTACACACAAATATTGTCATCGTCTTCGTCATCGTCATCGTCATCATCATCCTCATTACCGTCAGCAATAACACCAGTTCTAGGTTCAGAATTAATTCAACTTAGTTATAATTGTATAGTCTATGATGAAACACCAGCTCAATATAATTTACTTGATGAAACTAATGGAAATACATGTCAATTATTATCATCCTCATCATCGTCATCATCATTATCGAGTATACCAATGATTCAAACAAAAAATTACGCCAAATTATTCGTCAGTATGAAAATTATTACAACAGCAAATCCTATGGCAAAATATTTTAATATTAACTCAAATAATTATACATTGTATACAAGTCAACATATTGATCGTGAAGAATTATGTAATCAAGCAATGATAATGACTGATACATCGTCTATACCGGATTCTTTACGAACATGTTGTATAAATCGTCGAAAGGAATGTATTTTCCCATTGAATATACTTGTACAGACAAGAATTGGTAAGGATGATACGGTTGCTACTACTGCTACCACTACTATTAACAGTATTAATAATAATAGTAGTAGTAGTGGCACCATTTCTAAACATCTAGTCGACAAAGGAATTAATCATGTATCATCCATCATTACTGATACTGCAACCGCTGATATTAGTAGTATAGGTAGTATTAGTAATAGTGGTAATATTGCTGATGTTGTAAGTAGTAGTTCACGTTCAAAATTTTTTACAATTAACATAAAACTAATTGATATAAATGATAATGCACCAAAATTTCCAAATCCTCAATATACAATCCATGTTTCAGAAGGAATACATGTTGGATCCAGATTACCTTTACCATTAGCGGAAGATTTAGATTGTATAGACTATAATATTGTACGGTGAGTCTGATTATAATATTTAAAAGCATATACATATATTCATTATTGTACACGTATGATGTTTCAATAGTTGACATGGTCAATGTTATTTTATTGGAAATTGTGAATTTTGTGTTTATTAAAGCTTAGACCTTGTTCATACATGATCATGTTAAGAATCGTAGCCAGATCGTTAAGGAATCACAATTGTGATCTAATTAACTAGAACAATACAGTGGTTAAGTAATTCATAATTGCTTCCTTGAGTTCAATATGTGACAAGAAGTGTTTTCATCCCGTTTTTATTTTATATTCACGATTGAATTATAACCAATTTTTATTAGTATATGTATGAAGAATATGGTGTTGAGTTTCAGTGAGAGTATTAACATTTGGATGCCGGTTAATCCGGTTGATAATTCACAAATAAGACAAAAAATTATTTCCTGAATTTTTTTATTGACTGCACTTTATTTTGATGGAGTTTTGTTCTCTGAACTGGATGATTTAGTCATGGAGCTTTCATCATTCGAGTAATTTGAACACTTCACTTCTACCTGAAGTGTGTGCTGATTATGTCGTTCAGAAGAACGAAGAAAGCTCCACAAACAAATCATCCAGTTCAGTGAACAAAACTCCATCAAAATCATCCACTTGAGTTACAAATCTTTTTCACCACCTCAATTCATCTTATATAAGTAAATTATTTCTGTTGAAATTGTGAACTTATATGTTAAATGATTTCAGCATGAAAACTCCACTGTCTTTCTAGACTTACCTTACTCAATTTGAAATAATTATGATGATATAAAAGATTTGTCAATTTTTACTTCTTATTTTAAAAAATTCCACCTGAATAATACAAAAACAGATTAATTATCATTAGAAGGAGTTTTGTGATGATCGTAGTAATTTCAATATTGGAGATCATGAGTCTATTGAAGCTAGACCACCATGGAAAACCTGGAAGTACTGGACGGTCATTTCGTTCTATTGTGGGACTCCTCAGCAGTGCACATCCATGACTCCTCCTCACAGGGTTTGATGTGTCGCTCAATTTCGTGTAATAATCGAAGCTAGATATTAACACCGTTGGATGCCGGTCGGCTTAGTAGTCTAGTGGTTTGGCACCCGTGTGAGAGACTGATATGTCCTGGGTTCAAATCTCGCGAGGTGAAGTCGTGGACGCGTACTGTTGAAAAGCCCCACAATAGGACAAGCTGACCGTCAATTGCTTCCAGATTTTCCATAGTGATCTAGCTTCAATTCACTCATGATCTCAACTATTGAGATTAATCATCATTATATATGTCCATATCTACTTGTCCATGTTTGTATGTAGTATGTATGCATGTGTGTATGTATGCATGTAAGTGAATTCGTTCTTATCAATTTCAGTATCAAACATAGAAACAAATAGATATTCATCATTTCAAAGTTGATCAAAATAAGAATCAATAAACTGTGATAGTTTATGATCTGATTTGTAATAATTTCATTGATGAAACATTATTAAACTATAAGTTGATGATGTTGCTTATGTCTATCCATATAAGTAGTATGTAACACTAATCGGATGTGACATGCCCGCCAAAATAAATTTGAAAAGATTAGAATGGAATAAACAGATAAGGAAACATTAAAGAATTGAGAATTGAAAGTATTATGAAGGATGTAAAGGATAACAGATAGAAGATTTGTATGGTTTTCATATTATACGAATACACTAAATAATAAATTGGTGTTCCCTACCAGAGTGTTCCTTCACTATCATAACCATCACTCAGTTAGTATATATAGAATTATTTAACTGGTGATTAGAATAAATCAATTGATTGGAAAAAACTTCACAAAACTGACATTAACCCGACATCCAGCAGTGTTAATTTCCAACTTCAACCAATCCACGAAATTGCGCCACCGTACACCATTGTCTTCAGTGAACTAATATCTGACAACTAACCCAGTTAAACTCCATTGGTCACGGCTTCTCACTAGAACTATTGGAATGATTAAAATCTCCTAAAAACCCTCTCTGATAATAATCATCTGCTCACTAATGACTGACTTCAAGATGCATTTCCTAGAGTTCTAGTGAGAAGCCGTGACCATTGGAGTTCAACCTAGACTCTTGTGAGATATCAGCTCACTAAAGGCAATGGGTTATTTGTTGATTATTTTAAATACATATGCTGTATTTATTTTGAGTTCAGTGTCTAACAAATGATATACTAAAGAACTATGAATATTGTTTTGTCTTAATGTGGTGTATACTACTTATACAGATATATATAAATAGTATGTATCAAGAATCGGAAGTAGGGTACTGATTGACAGATAAGGAAAACGAGTTAAATATTAATAAAAGAACAGAAGCAGTCATAGTAAGAGCAGGAATAACGGAACGATGCAGTTTCTAAGAAACAGTTCAAGAAAGAGGTCCCAATGTGTTGTTTTTATATTATACAAATGTACTGTGTAATTTTATATAATAGGATAAATTGATTTATTAAACATTTGTTCATTATACTAAGATATTTAAAGTTGAAGATACTCGTACTTACTTACTTACTTACTTACTTACTTACTTACTTACTTACTTACTTACTTACTTACTTACTTACTTACTTACTTACTTACTTACTTACTTACTTACTTACTTACTTACTTACTTACTTACTTACTTACTTACTTACTTACTTACTTACTTACTTACTTACTTACTTACTTACGCCTGTTACTCCTCGCGAAGGAGCATAGGCCGCTCACCAGCATTCTCCATCCAACACTGTCCTGGGCAATTCTTTCCAGCTCTTTCCAGTTGTTATTCATCCTTTTCATATCTGATTCTATCTCCCGACGTAATGTGTTATTTGGCCCTCCACTTTTCCGCTTCTCTTCAGGATTCCAAGTTGGAGGCTTGCCTCGTGATGCAGTTTGACGATTTGCGTAATGTATGTCCTATCTATTTCCATCGTCTTTTCCTAATTTCTTCTTCAGCTGGAAGTTGGTTTGTTCTCTCCCACAGAAGGCTATTGTTCATGGTATCCGGCCAATGGATGTTGAGTATCTTGCGTAGACAGCTATTTATAAATACTTCTACTTTCTTGATTGTGGTTGTTGTAGTTCTCGAAGTTTCAGCTCCATACAGTAGAACTGCCTTGACGTTGGTATTGAAGATTCTCACTTTGACATTGGTTGAAAGTTGTTTTGAGTTCCATATGTTCTTTAACTGTAGGAATGCTGTCCTTGCTTTGCCAATCCTTGCCTTTACGTCTGCATCTGAACCTCCTTGTTCATCGATGATGCTTCCTGGGTATGTGAAGGACTCTACATTTTGCAGAGTTTCGCCATCAAGATACTCGTAAGCTAATAGTATTTGATCACAGATATCTTAGAAATATTTCTCACATCTGTTGGTATCATCGGGTAAGTAATAGTGAGGTTAGATGTAGGGTATTAGGCAATGCTGGTAAATCAGTTGATGAGGTTGTGAATCTTCATCGGCTGAGATGGTTGGACCACGTGTTATATATGCCCGAACACCGATTACCACAACGCGCAATGCTAACCAGTGTTGGGGATGGTTGGAAGAAAGTTAGGGGCGGCCAAAACAAAACGTGGCATCAGTGCTTGAAGTCACTAACTTCTAGTCTTAGCCATGTTGGTAGATACAAACTACTTGGTTGGGGTCCGCGTGACTATCGTAACCAATGGTTGGAGACTCTGTGTGACTTGATTCAGAAACGATCACAATGGCGTAGGTTTGTACAATCTTTGTGTTCCCTTAAACTAAGAGATTAAAATCGCTTCATATCTTTCTTTCTACGAACTAATTCTATATTCCGGTACTGTATCCTTATATGCAATCTTTCTTTTATATATTACCACCTTTAACCTAACCACTTCTATGAATCCGGTGTTCATCTTGTTGTGCTAATGAGGTATGGCAACTTGGACCGATGTGTATATATGTGCCTGGTCCTATGTTGTAGCTGACTGACTGACTGAAAATCGCTTCATATCGTTATTTTTACCTACTAAATCTTCCTTCCTGTACTGTATCCTTATATGCAATCTTTCTTTTATATATTACCACCATTGACTTAACCACTCCTATGAATCCGGTGTTCATCTTGTTGTGCTAATGAGGTATGGCAACTTGGACCGATGTGTATATATGTGCCTGGTCCTACGTTGTAGCTGACTGACTGACTGATTAAGGTTTATGAGATTTGTAGTTGACAAATTCCATAGATACTCACCTATTCATTCATATTTTCACTTATAAATCGATATATACAGTTGATTATGATATGTATTTAATCTGATTTCTTGTGTTGAACATCATGTAGATTATATAAGCAGTTTAAAGTATACTACTTAAATCTACTTCCTAATTCCTCCTTTTCGACAATTTGATTTCATCATATTGATAAGTTAATGAATAGAAGTTTGAAAATTTTGTCCAGTTTCCTCCAATTGTAGGTATCTTCTTTTACAAATATTTACTATAAATAGATCCTATTCATTATAAATTTAATAATGAAATGATCTTGATTAAACGTTTTGAGCCATTCTATACTGTAATATCGTATGAAAATATTATTAAGATACTTTGCATATCTATCAGTAAGTTTGTTCACATCAATTTGGTCTTAATGAACTGCCTACAATTACATTATCTACTTAACAACATAATTTATTGCGCAATATAATATACTACTAATAATAATCCCCTAATGGTATTAAGTATTGTGTTGTGAAATTCACTGAAATTCATTCAAAGATAGATGATGGTTAGTAGCAGAATTTAGGATTTAAGTTTCGTCCTACATGGTACTCATTAGCCTGATGTATCTGCTGTATTACTGTAGAACTTTTTTTAAATTTATGTACATTTACATAGATACAAATAAATTCTAATCTCATCATAAGTATGTATGAATGTGTGTGTGTGCGTGCGTGATCTTGACTAAATTCTAGTCTTAGGTAGAATATCCTAGTTACTAAACAAATCA